GGTCATCTCCTATTGGACTACCAACAGTAATCTGCCATCTTAAATTCAATGCTACAATGATTCTTCGTGATTATTATTCGAATGTGATTGTTAAACAGGCTTACATCAGGCCAGTCTTCATTTTAGAATATCTCTCTCTCCTTCGCTCCGTGTCTATATATATCACTTTACCAGTATTATTCTATGTAGGTTCTACATAGATAACTGTCGATGCCGTAATGATAATACCGATTAACAGGTTCTTGATCAACCCGGCAATCTTCCAAAAACTTGGAAAATTCCGTGGGGATTTGTATATGTCAAGGGAGTTTTTCCATACTCGTCGCCCTGCTCCGTCCACTTTGCTTCAGTAAGAGCAGCAAAACGGTCATTTATAACCAAACTTACATGAACCGCACTCAGTTGTGTATACATTACCGTATCATGGCCTGCAAGGCCCACTCAATCATCCGAGGTAAAAATCGTAAGAAAATAAAACGCTAAGCTGATTACTAAGCGGAGATCGACTATATCTAAGCTTTATGTTTACGGCAAAATAGATTATTGTGCGCAATATATTTCGAAATCGCTGTTTCGAGGTCCACCGTTTATGAAATCAATGACTGACACACAAATATGAGTGACAAGTTGTATATGTGTAGAAGGCCATGATATGTGCCGGTTATAATTGTGTGCCTAGCAAAACTGCTAGCAAAGGTAATGTAGTCTTCATGATATTATACAATCGTTCTCGAGATACTAACTTAAATAGCTAAGTTTCTGAATGACAAAGTTACAGATATAGTTAATTTCAGTCCCAGTACGATGCACGCATACATACCCATAACTGAGGTAGCATATTGAAAAAAAAAACTTACGAGCAACATGTTTTGATCAAATTTTTATAATACACACTTCCAGATTCAACCGACATTCAACGGCTACAGATTTGCAATATTTGACAGCCTATGATATAACAATAATAACGAAAAATAATGAAAAAAAAAAAGCTAGTCTATTTCGAATAGAAACCCACGTAACCACTTAAAAGGAGTTTGCTAATAGAAAGGGCAACGCTCTATTCGACCCAGATGTTTTCTACTTTCCCTGAGGTTCGTTCTTTATTCAATCCTATACAAACATTTCAACCCACACGCATGTTAAGTATCATATTATCTCTTCCGTTATTATGAACATATTACTAAAACGACACCACACAATACACCGCGATATACAAAACGTAAACGCTATATTTAAGCGCAATGTAGCGACGCATCTATTTAGAAACAGTGCATAACTTCATCACTGTCGAAAATATTCTAACTTATGCTACAAACAACTTCTAACCCTGGTCACACTAAGAGCTCCAAGGACGACAGTCCCTCAAACTCGATTGGATAATAGTCGTATCCACGACTCGTACAGAAACCCGTGGATAAAATGAGTTTCATCACGGTTACAGTCATCGAATAGAGCTATTACCGCTTGACCTTCGGCGGCTAGCACAAAAGTAAGCGAACCTGAAGATTTCTCGTGCAGATGCGTGTCGTAGATAACAACGCTCGCTTAATAATATATACTATTATACAATAGACAGCCTAAATTTTTAAGAACTGCCTCTTTTGTCCCGGAAGACTGACTGTTCGTGTATATATAATACCCGCGTTAAAAAATGTCGTCAAGTGATGCTGAAAAAGCTATTGGTAGCGAAATATAATAAGGTGGAATATAACGGAGTAGGGTATGAATATACTGGAACAGCATAAAACTCTATTGCTTTGAACCAAGTCGATACTACCCATTATACATTATCCTTGTATCACTATGGCTATATCTTAAACCCCAAAGTATTATGTAAATGATCTTATTTTATTACAACTTGTATCATAGACTGTATAAGTTGAAGGCGGGCCCCGAATGATGTTTTTTCGTAACAATTTACGCTTGACAACAACTGAGAGCTTTTATAAGGCCTCCACCCTAAACTTACGAACTTGAATACCATCCGTTATTATGATTTTTATGTGTCATAATTCGAATGAACTTCGCAATTAGGTTTTCCCCACGACGGCCGTGCTCACACTTCCCATCTAGGTATGTGTTTAGGCTGGGTTGAAAATTCAAATTTATCCTTATTATTATTATTACAACTTTAACATTATATCTCTGAAGCTAACAATAGTGGTGATTTGTTCTTGGGTTGCATTGAAGAAAACACATCTCATTCATGAAGCTTTCGAAATACTTATTTCTCAAGGGGCAGATGGATATTAGATTATACCTAAAGGCCTTCAAGGAAAGCATGAAACTGCGATCACGATGGGGAGTATTGAATTCAGCATAAAAGATGTCCGACCGTATAAAATAATGTCGCGTCAACTATCAGTCCTATTTCTGCAACAGTCAAGCTCAGCAATGGATAACGACAAGATAACAGCTCGCAGTCATCATTGTGGAGTCAACAACCAACGCAAGGTGAAACGTAAAATGCCTGAAGTCATGTATTATATATCTGCACAAAGAGTAATACTGAAACAATATAGCTGCTCTCTTACTAAACGAGGTGTGATGCCAGGTGGATCCATTGAGTTTTATGCCAGATCTCCAATATAACAGTAATGCTTGCACAATAGCTAAGCAAGTGATGCCAACTCCAGAAACGAAGAAAAATTCCGAGCCGGCCTTAATGGTCCTATTATCTGTCATGGCAAAAGTATCTTTATATTATAATTAGAAACAACATAAATTGTTCTAGATACTCAAACTTACGGATGTGTAGCACAATAACAAAAAAACGAATACTTCTTTACTGCTGAATCTATTATAACTGTACATAAATAACTGGTGCACCATTAGCCTTAGAGGGAACTTAAACATAGTCGTTACTATGGCGAATTATGTATTTACTTCTGAAGTTAGAGTTTAGCTTACAACATAGGATCTCATGTTTTTACAAACAAACGTTTTCTTCTACACAATATTACCGAGCGAAGTACGTATCAACGAATGACGATATTAAAAAATGTCACCCCCAAACTAGTAGCTTGTCATCTGTGCTTAATGGCGTCCATCACACCTTGCTTCTCTGTCATGCGCATCGGTAGTACTCTTAAAGTGTTATGATTTTGTAGTAATTATCAATGTGTGCACGTATCATTAATGGATCATAATAGAAACGGTCTATTTCGTATGCGAGATACGAGGCTAGCTATAGAGAAAAAAAAAAAAAAAAAAAAAAGGCCCAATGAGCTGATCTTCTTCACGCATGATGGTCAGAAATGTAAACTTTTTTTTTTTTAAAATGTAAGCCCAACAATAATGTACGAAGCACATTTACATGCTAGAGCTATCTTGTTGACTATGAAACATGGCCGTATAGAGCAAGACGTGTGCTAATTCGGTAATCTTAGCTTAGTTCACATTTGGATCAATTAATTCTATTAGGTTTCAGCCCAACCTTCGTAGAGCGGCACTTTTCGTTTTACAAATGGCCCAAGCCAGAATTGCAATGATAATTACATTGGTAGTGGTGCTAGTGATCACGCACCGGTCGCTTCTTATAGCCGATCAGTAGGTTTTTTCCCTAGACGACAAGAACTACTGTTATTTCTAAGCATAAATGGGGCTGGACAAACACCGAAGCTACAATGGATATCCTTAGAATACGTATTTTCATTTTCCGTTCTATATTACAGCAGATTGAGCACACATCTAAAACCTTATCCAGTCACTATAGAGCGTACGTACTTGTAGCTGCGACCAGAACTCCCAACTGATAACAACGCTGTTAAAAAACACGAGTGTTTTTGTATGTATGTAAGTTTTGTGTGTAGCCTGTGTTCTGGTTCAATTTACTTAGATCGCCCTATTATGAACTATAATTATTTGTCCACTATACAATATACAATTTACTGAATAATTCCAGTGAGTTTTTCTACGAGAAATGTATTCCGATAATATTTTTAAATATCCTGTTGATATATGAATTGTGTAATTTATAATTATAATAATGAACAAAAGCAGAATCCATCTAAAATGACGTGTCGGTGTCAGATTAGTTTACCCTCTATCGTGAAAGTGTTTGCCCCATCAGGGCTATTCTGACGTCTGAAAATGGGCACTGCAAATGATACTATTTTGCTTGAAGAAATGAAATCAGATTTTTATTAGCTGCGTATTCGCTAAACGGCGCTTTGCTCGGTTTCAAACAACAAACTTATGGTAGCAGGGACATAAAGAAGGGTAAATGTCTTAGTTGCTGCTAATTTTAACGAGCGGCCGACGATCAACTCGCGGGTGATGACATCAGCTTTGCCAGCAGCAGGAGAAAATCGCCGCCTTTCCATTTCGACAAGATAAAAAATCTTTGCTTCCAAGGCCAGAAACTTTTACAAATACAGTTTTAAGCATCCTTCACAATTATGTTACGCGCGTCGCGTTGTTCCCATAACATCCAGAGTAGATTGTTTCGTTGACAGCTAGTGTTTCGTATATACTTCTATCATGGGACAAAAATTTACCCAAAGGGTCTTAATAAAATGCAATGGGAGAACGTCACGCGCGTTGAACGGCAATCCTATGCGACTTTAACATATCAGCTAGAAAAAGAAAACATTTCGAAATCCCCAGGCCGATATTTTGTCCAGACATTTTACTTTTAAACCACAAAATATAAACTAGATTGGACATAAACAACGAGTTAAATACTCACTTATCGTTTAATCCAGCCTTTTTCTTTTGTCTAATCAAATGATTTGGCAACGCTTAGCATTGAAATCATCAATCGTTCAAATGGGCAGCTCTGATGACGTCAAAGTGTTAGTAAGCACATGATAAAAATCTATCTATTCACAATGAACCGATAATAAAAAATGCTCATACATTTTATGGGATGTTACAGGTTCTTTTTCAAAGCCCACGACTATCGTCTGGCAAGAAATCGTTGTAACGGCGAGGTATGCACCTCGCTCGTTTTGTTTTTTCTTTCCTGTTGTGAAATTCCATCTGTGAAAGTGATTTACCGGTTTCCGCAAATTTGGAGCACTCAAGCTCCACGACACTTCGAAACTTCATAGCACCCCGTAGAAGACTTCAGAACTACATCTCCGTAGTTCCGTGCACAGTCGACGGAATTTGTTCGTACATAAACAGCACATCAAATAGGAAACAAAAGCTCAGAGTTGTATAAACACGCAGAGACGCACATGTAAAAACAACGTTACGTACTATATAATGGTCGACAAGTGACAACTAATTACAACGCTGCCGATTAGCTCTTTCTTACTTGTCCAGCTAGTAACTAGCCGCGCATAGAAGGTCCGACATGGGCCAAGTTGAGTCGACTACAGCTCCCACTACGTTCTTCTACCACACAGTACTCATGGGCAGATGATGAAGGCAAACGTTATGTTTTGAGGGAGGATGGTCGGACGTCCGCTCAAACAACTCGCGCGAACGGTCGCAGTTTTTCCGCTTCACCCACCGCGCACGCAGAGACAATACAGAAGCGACACGGATGACTATAGTGTGTCTGCCGCTGTATCTGCGGCCATTGCTATCTCTACTGCTGCACCGTGACGAAATGGTGAGCCAGTCAGACGGTCACTCACACGTTCAACGAAGCTACGCAAAAAGAGAGAGGGTTCACGGGGGGGGGGGGGGGGGGGGCTTTACGACGTTAAAAGCGTTTCGTCGGTCTCATCGGCTCAATCATCAGCATCGCAGCCGTTGTCGCCAGTCCTGCACCAAACAAATTCAGCTTGTAACAGAGAAGACGATGAAAATCGCTATTAGCTAAAGCCTACAGGTGTAGCGACTATTCTTACGTATGGTTGGCATTATGTGCATATTAGCACGTCTGAGGTATGATATTAAATAGGACCCCTATAGATCTCGGCCACTCCCATCTTGATTACCTAGTCGTGGGTGCCGCCCAGCGGTACGAGGACCGGAAAAGATTCGCTTATATAAAAGGCACGTCGTACGTTAGAGCCTCAGCGTATTTGCAGGTTGTTTTGTTAATAAATGGGGATGTAGGTGTAAAGGCGGAGGTTGTCAAAGACATACATATGTATATCGTCCGTTTACATTGTTCGAACTCGGACTGGGAATCAGGGAGACTCAAAGAAATCGCATGAAAGAACAACCTCTTTTGTCACCGGACATACAATAACGAGTCGTACTGATTTATTTGAGTATCTAAACAATGACCCGCCGCAGCAAAATTTCGAAACGGTAGAGTGGCAAATTGGGCGAACGAGGGCGCTAGCTTGGGCCAGTGGGTACCTGCAAGCCATATCCCATATTTGTCAACATCTGATGTGAAAATACATTTACTGACAACACTGTCCAAGCAGTATGGAATAGCTAGCATAATAGACGGATTCGAGGTCGGCCCATGGTCGCTTGTCGGAAGTCTGCAAGACAGTGCTGGTCAGCGATGTGTGTTTTGGGTGGAGTCGAGTCGCTACGCAAGAAGGGCTGCCGGCCTCGTCCTCCGCGCCCCAACGTCTCCATCTGTATGGTTCCATCTCCAGTCTCGTTTCGACAAAAATCCCCACTTACGATTTTTCATAATACCACGAAAATGTCTGCCGGTCATGCTCGCTATCTACAGCACGAACTAGAGTCCTTTAGCATAGACAGGACAAATCGTGTAGCCTTACACAAGCGTATGATCTGGTCCACATTCCGCGTCGGATCTTTGTGCATTGCAAACACAGACGGTTTTATTTTAAAGCTCATATAAAAGCTTTTGCCTTATAATTTTTATATTCGAATTCGGCGGTCATTGTTAGGCACTGCATTAAATGTTTACTTCCACGTGTTTACGTTAGGATTCGAATTCGGACGATTATGTGTTCCCCGGTTGTTATATTAGAGATTATACTAATACACGCTGAGACGCGATGCAAACTAAAGTATATTCTGTCTAATTTAGATTCGTCAAATTAGCACGCTACCGTTGCTAAACGCTGCCGCTAGAGGCCGCTGATCAAACAGCATGCGCCTGCCGAAGCCATTTGTGGATGAATTAGCCGCTGACCACAGATTAACTTGCAAAAACACGACCGCTATTTACCTTTTTTTGAGGCCTTTCTGAGGTAGCTTGGATAATTGCATCCCAACGGATGTTAATGAGTTTATGGTGACGTCTACTTATACCCTCGCTTCTAATTTGTGAACTAGCTAAGTATAATAAACATTGGCGAAGGCCTAACCTTTTTGCTCAGCATCACCTTTCTTTTGGTTTTCTGCAGCTAAAATAATTCATACTGAAACTCAATGGCCTCAGTTAATTCTAGGACAGTTTTCTCTCTCTGACTGCATCAATGTCAATTGTTTAACACTCAAAGGGATATTGGTAAAAAAAATAACAACACTTATCCCTTTTTCTGTTGACGGTTACTCATAAAACTCTAGCCGTTATTGTGGATCAAAAAGATCACCGGCAGTTTATTTTTAAGTGTTAAGGGCACCAAATAGAAATTTATGATCTCGCTTCATTGTATTCGACTTGCCATCTTGTCAAGTCGCTCCTCTCGCTCCCATGCATAGGAGTTCGTTACTGAACGAAGCACCTACAGAATTAGATGCTTCGAGACGGTGCTTTGTTCTTCAATTTCGCTAGGTACATTTTGCTTACAGTAACTTGTACCTTTGCCTATCTTATCGATATGGACCGGTACCCTGGCACGCTCCTCCTAGGTAAAAAGGTTTGGACAGAAAACGCGTAGTGATTGGCAAACCATGATGTATTCAGATCATGTTCAGATGACTGATGACAACTTTTTATACCAACTTTAGCTTATTAGTCATTGTGCGTCACTTAAAATTATTCCATCGTTCTTAACTACGTTTAATTGCGTTGTATACGAAGAATGATTTTTGATTTGCCGGTGCTCCAGGGGGTCCAGTCAGCACCGTGGTCGTCAATAATCACAATGTGCCCCACCGAAATCGGTCAAATATGAGCTGTTTAGTCACGATACTGCCGCAACCTTTCTACTTCGGGTGCTATCACAATATGTTATCCTCTTTAGGACATATCAAACCAAATAAATTGCAACGATATCTTATTGGATTGACTGACAAGACGTACTATAGAATTTTTCGTGTAAGCTCCTTCACCGTTTGCTTACTAGCGAATTATATGAGCCGCATCCGTTCGTCGAGATATATTCCCCCTAAATACCTCGACTGCGGTTCTTATAGTAAGCGTAAAAGTTATATGTAATGGCGCAGTTTCGAAAGAAACAAAAAAATAATACCAGAATATATTGAAGAAGAACAGTATAGTTCATTAATAGGAAAAATTATCGTGTATTATGAACGATTATGCTCGGCTAATTTTACGATCAGTTTGCAACTGATTGTGCAATTGGCGTTTCAGCTTGTTGATAATTTTACGCGCGCTTACACTTAAGGACTTAATAGTTTTCGAATTGCTTTTGAACGAGAAGAACCTTCGTTAACTTTGTTTGAAGGATTTTTCAACTAAATTATGGTCAAGCTGGGGTTTTTTTCTTTTTATTGCTGGTAATTTCCTGTCAGCCCCGTCCTTCATTTGCAATGCTCATTTCCTCCATTTAGCTCAAGACAACCTATTTAGGTTCTATTTTCGAACAAAAGAAGAGAATTTGGAGAAGACATGGAATTTCTGGATCGAACACTTGGTAAAACGGTCGCAGAAACGTACGAAATCTGCCGACATCCTTAACATAATGGTGATTGACTGTAAAGAAGGAACTTATGATCGACAATCTTGGCCACTTCGCTCTGAAACTTGCAGATCTTACCCGTTATGTCAATTTTATAGCAATCATAAGCTCGTAGACATCATTTGTAATTTTTTAAGAAAGCCCGCTTGCTTCCTAATTGTAACGAATCTGATCCCCTCGGCAAAAACAATACTGTGTTTTTTTTTTTGTATTAAAATGCGATGCATACTTTTCCTATGAAGACAGGAAGCATGCGGTAGGTTCATATATATACTATATCGATACACATATGGTGATACAAGCCGAAACCTGACTGCATTCAAATGTTACTGACAGACACTCCGAGTGGCATTCCATGGGGTAACAGGTACTTTGTCTTTCTTGAAACCTCTCCAAAAGAAATAAATAAGGTACGTTTCCTTTCAGATTCGTTTTGGTTGTATCATTATTACAAAATTAAGGCTAACAGCACTGCAGCTCCAATTAGAAGATGACAGATAGTTTGCAACTCTTTCGGGGAAATGGTAGTTGACAATTCTATATCGCCGTCAATATTATTACAAGATTGTTATTAATACTAATTATCGGACTGACAAAAGAAGAGAAACTTTTTACGCTGAGCAGATTAGCCCGACCTATAAACTAATTAAAAGAGGACGCCTAGTGAAACTTTTTTTTACCTGATTGATATCAAAGGTCTTGAGATTTTAGGCAAGCGCAACAGGTTACATTATCATTCTACTTTATTCGATGCAGCAATACTGGATTATCGAAGATCAAGCGGGGGCATTTCGTTAAATTTTAGGAAGAGCAACTATGTTAGCGTTTGTGTTTATTTTGCTATGGTCGACAGGGAATTTATTCCTTGGAGTATGATGTAGTGCATAAGATATGTCCTCGAGGTTTGCAGAATTTACCGAAATGCTCACCAGATTGATTCCTTGTCGAAATGAAGCTTATCCTAATTCAATGAATACAAGAAAAAAAAACCATAGTAATTCAGCAAAATCGAAATGTTTACACTAAACCATGTATTTTTGAGAACCCTGAATTTAATTTGGAGAATACAAAGTTCCTCTGTGGATATACCAGGTTATTTAAGAACGTGAAGTCCTTTCCATACTGAAAGTAAGCTCAGAAGTGATTTCTGATGAACAAGTTGAACTCAGGTTCTTCTAAATTTTTCTTGTTGGTGTTTGTGCCACAAAAAAACACTCCACCTCATCTTGAAAATTGTCATCCTAATGTAAAAATAGCTGTCAAATTTTCTGCTTCCTCCACAATACTCTTTGAAAGTGCCTTAGGGACCTTGCTGATCACGTTGTTAGTAGTATTCTTTCTATTTCCTTAATGAAGCCGATTTGAAACGACATCGATCATTGTCAGACCAGTCAAAAGCTCATAAAAAAAGTCTAATAAGGGCTTAGCTTAAGAGATAGCGTTCTCCTTCTCCGTCTCAGCGCCTGAAGGGAACGGGTATTATTCGTTTATCTTAGCCAGTGCTATCCCTATATTTCCTACGCTTAAAATAGAAATTAGATGTTCGCTACCGGAAAGGGAACAAAGCGGGATGCTAAATTGTATTATTATACAATTTCAAGTAAAAGGATGCATGACCTTGGTTGCAGTTTAAGAGCAGCAGAAAACATATGAACGGACTCAGCAGAAATAACCAAGTTGGACGTGAGGATCATTTTGTCGCTGCGGCTGAGACTCTGCACTGTACTTTGGTAGCTTGAGGTAACAACAAGCTTTCGCAGGGGGGGGGGGGGTGATAACAACTCAGAGTTCACCATAATAACAACAACA